TAAGCCCCTGGCATTAGACTAGGTACTGGGGATACAGAAGTGATCAAGGAAGGCAATAGGTGACTAACCATCAGAGTTTTCCCTAGACTCAGGGCTTTCCTGGAATGTTGGACGTGTGTTGGTAAAACCAGGACAGTCCTAGGCAAACTGAGAGGAGTTGGTCCCTAACAGGTAAAGCCCCTGCCCTCATGGAGGTTATATTCCAATGGGATGGCAAGGGTGGAGCTGGAAAAGACAAACAAATACGCAAGACAATTTCACATAGTGATATCACTTATCACAAGATGTAAGACAGAGTAGGGGACTGTACTTTAGAGAGGGAGGACAGGATTGCCTTTCTGAGGAAGTAACATGCGACCTGAGGCTTGAATGATGAGCAAGCCTTATGAATCTTATGAGCGCTCAGAGGAGAGCTTTCCAGGCACAAAGTTACCAAGACCCCGGGGCAGGAACAAGCTTGGCACATTCAAGAAACAGAAAGAAGGCCAGTGTGCCTGAAGTGAAATGGGCAGAGGTGAGACTAGTTGGAGTTGGCAACTGATTTGTTTACCCCAATTGCTATGGAAGCTATTGGAGGGATTTAAGCAGGAGAGTGTCATGTTCTGGTTGTTATTTTCAAAAGACTATTCCAGCTGCTGGCTGGAGAGTGGATTGGAGGGGAGAGAACGAGCAGAGGATGACCACGTAGGGAGCTGCTGCAAGTGGGGAGGTGGTGATGATGGTGCCTGGACTAAGCAGTGTCTTGGGGAGAAAGGACAGGGCAGACCCAACCGTACTTGCTAATGAATTGCACGTAGGGGGTAAAGGAAGGAGAGGACCAAGTGGTGCCTAGGTTTGGGGCTGGAGCTGCAGTAAACAAGGATATACCCCGAAGGACATCAGAGGTCCCTCTGTGTGGGGATTAAGAAGCAGAGAGGAGGAAGCCCTCACACGTCCAAGAAACTCAATGAACTGCCATATAGCTCGGTAGGGGTATCCTTGATGTAGCATTGTGGGAGATCTATGTCTGGAATGTGCCTGCTTTGGGGGAATGAGAAAGAAATGTCTTAGGAGACAAGATGTCTGTGGGTGGGAGTTAGGAGTCTGTCTTAATACTGGTGGGGCCCAATTTACAAGTGACTTCGGAGGGATTGGTAGTTCAGACAGGTTATCCATGTAAGAGACGTTTACATGACCTGAAATGGAATGAGGGGTGGTGTATTAGGGTAATGAGGTTAGCTGTAATGACCCCGAAATCTCAGTGGCTTAGCACGAAGAAAAGGGTGTATTTTTCATTCATATTACAGTCCGATGCAGATTTGGGGAATGGAGTGGGTAGTTCTGTTCATTCATTCATTCAAGGGTCCCAGGCTCTTTCCATCATGTGGCACAGCTGTCTTCAACATGTGGCCTCTAAAATCATCACAGAATGGGAAGAGGGAATGAGGGCTGCACGGGAGATTGTATGGGTCCAGCCTGGAAATGGCACACATTGCTTCTGCTCTGATTCCATTGCTCAGAACTCACTCTCATGGCATCAGTTTAACTGCAAGGAAGCTGGGACGTGTTCAAAGTTCCTATTTAGTAGGTCATGTGCCAGAAGAAGGGTGCTAATGGTGAACACTGGTGGTCTCTGTCCCAGGCAGGGAGAATGGCTATCTCTCTTGGGGATGGGGGGGTGGGCAGCGGTGTCTGTCTTGGGTTGGGATGGGAGTGCACTCTCTGAAAGCACCTTGGAAAGGAAGCTGATGTGGCGAGAAGGGCATGCGTGGTGCATACCAGTGTGCTTTGCAGCTTCATAACCTTCCCATGCTTTCCCTTCTCATGGCCTTTCTCCAGATAAGATCGTAATTGTCCCACATCTCACCACAGAAATAGCCTTGTGAATGCTTTCTCTTCTGCAATTTTCTTTTCCCATCAAATCCAAACTGGATACCAAATAATCTTCTTAAGGCATGGTTCATGTCATGCTAGCCCTGTCCAATAATAACAGTACCAACAATTTCAACAACAGTGATAATAATTTGTCAGATTACTGTGTTGAGTGCTTTAACTGTAGTATCTCAATATCTCTCGATTGCTATAACAAGCCAAGGATGTATCATCATTCCCACTACGCAGATGGAGCGACAGGGGTTCCGAGAACTTCCTGTGCTGTCCAATATGGTAGCCACTAGCCACGTGTGGCTATTTAAATTAAAATCAATTAAAAATTCAGTTCTTCAGTCATACTAGGCACATATCAAATACTCAACAGCCACATGTGACTAGTAGCTGCCATTCTGGAGAGGGCAGATATAGAATATTTTCTTCTCGGCAGAAAGTTCTCCTGAGTTAGGGGAAAACTGCCCAGTTCGCACAGTAAGTGGTGATCCCATCTGAACATAAAATCCTTCAACAGCTCCATATTGCTTCCACATTTAAGAAAAAGTGTCAGCCTGCTTGTAACCTACATCCTGGGCCCAAGCTACTGTTACATAATTATCTCTCGTTATTTTCTTGCACAACCTCACTCTCCAGCGTAACGAGTTTGTTAACTCCTCTCCGATACTCCTGACATGTGCGCTCATAATAAATATTTTTGCTCCCCTCCTTTCTGTCTGCCCAGCTAGTTAATTGCTACCTGACCGTAAGGTTCAAATAGCTTAAATATTTCTTGAATCAGCCCCCTCTTCCCCATTCTCACTGTCTCAGCCTGAACCACCTCTCAGGCTCTCCTCATGTGGCAACCTTTCTGCTGCTACTAACCGTACTTGCCGACATTTATTAAGCACCTGCTACATACTTGCCACTCTTCTAAGCACTGCCTCTTCATTGTAACACAAGTAGACATCACAGCTGTGCCCTGTCCCCATTTTACAGACGGAGTACCTAAAGCACAGGGAGGTGAAGAATTTGTCCGAATGACCTCTCTGCTTTCTAGTCCTTTCGAAGGACGTTCACCCTCACACTATTACCCTGGCCACGTTTCTAAAACACAGAATTGTTACTTCCCTCCCCTGGCTTCACAGAGACAGGGGAAAGCCTTCTCAGCAGAGCAAGCAAGGCCCTTTATGTTCAGAACATTTCCAACCTCAAAATCCATCACTCCACCCACAGACCACAAACTACTTACAGTTTCCCGAACCTGCCATGTTATTTCTTCCTTCTGGGCTGTCACACAGGCTGCTCCCACTGCGTGGAGGACTGTTATCCCTGCCAGCCAGCTCTGGAACCATCCGTGGCAGTGCACTCTGGACCACAGGGCTCGCTCCCTCCTCTGAACAGCCAGCACTACCTCTCTCCATCAGTGGCTCCCAAAGGAGGGCTGGATGCCGAGCTCACCTCATTAAAGTCACTTCTCATTAAAAATATATATATACTCCCAAGATTCAAATTTAATGTCAGGGGTGGAGTCTGGGGGTCTTTTTTTTAATTATTATTAAAAAAGAAGCTCCCCAGACTATTCTGAAGTGAGGCAAATGTGGTTTACATTGCTCGCTTGGTAATTAATCATGTCCTGCCTAGATTTCTTGTGCATGATCCCATTTATTGTTATTTAATTCTTACCTTCATTCACTCACATTCATCTATTCGACAGATGTTTACTAAAGGGCTACTATGTGCTGTGAACGCTTCTATGTGTTGGTGTGAATGAAAGGGGCACAGTCACTATTCATGGAGATTACATTCCAGAGAGATGTGATAGCAGAATAATGCCCCCCCAAGATGTCAATGTCCTGATCCCCAGAATTTGTGAATACGTTACTTTACATGGCAAAAAGGATTTTGCTGATGTGATTAAGTTAAGCATCTTCAGATGGGGAAATTATTTTGGATTATCCAGGTTCTAAATCATAAGGGTCCTTATAAGGGAAAAGAAGGAGGCAGCAGAGTTGGCAAGAGAAAAGGAGATGATGTAATGACAGAAGCAGAGGTCTGAGGGGTGTGATTGTTTGCTTTGAAGATGAAGGTAGACCTTCAGGAGTCAAGGGATGTGGGCAGCTCTAGAAGCTGGAAAAGGCAAAGAAACAGATTTTCCCCTCGAGCCTCCAAAAGGAAGGCAGCCCTGCCATCCCCTAGACTTTAGCCCTCTGAGTTCCTTTTTTGGACACCTACCTACAGAACTGTAGGATAATAAATGTGTGCTGTTTGAAGCCACTAGATCTGTGGTACTCTGTTACAGCAGTGAAAAGAAATAAATACAAGGTATATTGGCTACTTATTTTGTGCCAGTATGTGACGGGCCTCCCCAACTAGATTATAAGTGTTTGAGGGCTCCGTGTGTTGTGTTTTTTGGTTTTCCCTGCCGGCTCCCAGCGTGGCACTGGGCCCGCGGAGGGAGCTCAGTATACACCTGCTATAGATTACAGTCTCTACCCTAGAATTGTCTGATTCTGATGGGAGTGATGTTTGGTAGATTTGGGGTGGGAGGATGAGGCTTGCGGGGATTAAAGGAGAAGGGAGCTGTCCTTGAGGGTGAGGTGTTTGACGTTAGAAGATGATGGGGCAGAGGTTCTGTGAGAAGAATCTTCTGAGAATCGCTTAATCCCTGAGGAGGGAACCTGATGGATAGATAGGGGCGGAAGGAATCATACTCACTGTGTACTTTCATCTATCTTAATTTTTATATCTTGATTTTTAACGAGAAATTTACATCTTAAATTTTAAAGGAAAACGTGATAAATTTTAAAAGTAATCACGGCAGCTGGCTTGTACACCCGTACATTTCCGGGCCCCGCCAGGGACCAAATATCCTGTAGCTCAGAGGACGAACCCCGGAACCTGCCTTTTTAGGCGGCATCCCCAAATGATCAGGGACCCGAGGACTCAAGGCCAAGCCCAGGACGCGCCCTCCACTGTGGTTCCGGGCGCGGGCGGCCTCCGGCCGGGGAGGGCGCTGTGCCGGCGGCGCAGGGGGCGGGCCGGGGGCGGAGCGCGGGCGGCCGGCGGCTACGGCTCGGCCCCCGGCCCCCGGCTCCCGGCTCCCGGCTCCCGGCTCCTGCTCCGGGCCCTGCACCTGTGCCCGTCGGCCACGCTCGCCTTCTGCGCCCGGCGCCCGCAGCCCCATGGCCCCGTCGCGCCTGCAGCTCGGCCTCCGCGCCGCCTACTCCGGCCTCAGCTCCGTGGCCGGCTTCTCCATCTTCCTTGTCTGGACGGTGGTCTACAGACAGCCGGGGACCGCGGCCATGGGGGGGCTCGCAGGTACCACGGGGCGCGCGGGGGTCGCTGGGTCCCGGCTCCGGCCGCGCGGACGCGGGCGCGCGGCTGCGGGGAGGAGTCGGCGGCTGCTCCGCAGGCTCCTCGCGGGCGGCGCTTCCCGGGGGAGCGGGTGGGGTGTTTACCCAAAACTGGCCGTGGGCAGAGCAGGCCCCGCGCGGGCCCGGGCTCCTGGACATCCTCGGGGGGCCTCAGGGACTCAATGCCCGCCCGAGGCGCCGACGTCCCGTATGTGCCATTTGCACCAGCCCCGGCGCCCCCGGGTTAGCCCGTCCGCCCTCCACCCTGGGCCCAGTGACAGCGTCCTCCCTGCACGCCCGCTGCTCTCGCCACCTCCTTCGCGCAGTCAGGTGTGAAGACACGGCGGTCTTCACACACACACACTTGGCTGGGGGATCCGCGCCCCTTCCCTGGGGACTGGGTGAGGGCAGAGAAGAAGTAAGTGGAAAGGAGGGCTGGGGGTTCCCGGGGAAGCCCATGTGCCTCCTAACAGGGTGGAGTCCGCCGCCAACCGAGTCGCCAGCGGAGTCCTCAGCGGAGCCCCGGAGGACCGCGCTAGGGATCCGATGGAAACTGGACTTTTTTCCCCACCACGTTGGTGTCTCTTTGCCACTCTTCTGCTGTGGCTTCTGGGCCAAGGTCGGCTAAGCCCCGCCGACCGCCCTTTCTGTGCCTCAAGGAGGCCAGAGGAGGCTTGTACCGGAGTTGAGAACGTCAGTGCGCTGGTGGAGGTCCGGTGCTTACCAGTGCTCTGTACTCGCTGTGCACCTTTGGGCATGTTGTTAACCTCTCTGTGCTGTACAATTGGTGTGAAGTTGGAAGGAAGCTTTATGATATGAGAAGCCCATACCATTTTTTGTGACTTTATTTTAAATTAATATAAGATGGTGTTGGTTTTATTGGATATATTTTTATGTTCCATGCTACTAAGGTTTACATTCAAACATTTGACAAAAGTGTATTTAGGACTTTTCATAAGTATTTGATTGAGAGTATTCAGTGGTTATCTTTTGTTTATTGTATATACATGGGTCTCTTTCTGGGCTCTCTAGTTTGTTCCATTGGTCGATATGTTTGTATTTAACCCAGTACTATTCTGTTTTAATTACTGTAGCTTGCTAATTTTTTTTTTTTTTTTTTAAGGCTTCCTATGTGTCAGACACTGTGTTAAGCAAACTGCTTCCATCATCTCATTTCATCCTTACATTAGTCCTAGGAAGTAGGCATTATTATTGGGTCCATTTTACAGGTCAGGCTTAAACTGAGGCTTAGTGTAAATAAATAGCTTACCTAGGGTTACACAGCTACATGAAATTATATGTGTGGGGAAAGCACTTTGGGAAAAAATACATGTAAGGTTCATAGTTTTGCACAGGATGATCTTACTCCATAATTAAACTCCTCTGCCAAAAGAGCCCTAAATGGACTAACTAAAAATAACTAGATTTGCTCATTGCCCCAAAGCTTACTGAGTGCCACACCTGGGTCAAGAAGGGATGGGAGGTGGGGCTTCTGCCCTGTAAGAGGGGTGTAGGTAACCACGGCCTAAGCAATGCCAAGCAGAGCAATTGGGTTCTCCGAGGAAGGGCACGTGGCTGCCTGGCTGGGCTGCTCTCATGCTTGCCTAGATGCCCCACCTGTGGTTCTCCCGGGGGGCCAGCCTGCCCACCTCTGCTCAGTTATCTGCAGACGCCTGGCTCCTTTCCCCGCTGCACCCCACCGCCCACCATGTTCCTCATGATTCTCTGGTCCTTGCAGTGTTTTCCTATTTCCTGTCGGCCTGCTGCTTTCCCCTCAGGAAGGCGGCGTGACTCTTCAGGTGAGGCCCAGGGGTTGCCCTGATGAGACTTGAGATGAGGGGGCTGGTTGGGGCTGAGGAGGGAGGGCTGCCCCTGGGATCAGAGCTGGGTGTGTTGGAGTCTGGCCCGGTGGAGTGAGCCCCACCGAGCTGTGTGACCATGGGCACATCGATGCCTCCTGGGCCTCAGTTTCCTCATCCGTAAGGAATGGAAGGAGATTCCGCTGACAGGGGTGTTGTGTGAGACCCCGTTCAGGTCTGGAATGCTACAGCTGTATGTCCTCTCCCCGAATCATCCATCTTTCAGCTGCCTGTCGGGGGGCAGCTCCAGGGAGTCCCAGGGTTTCCCTCTGACCTGAGCCCTGCCCTCTCTCCCTCCCTGCAGATTTCCCTTGGCCTCTGAGGCAGGCCAGCTGTGGAGCTGCCCACAGCAAGAGGTGCTAGGGCAGCGACCAGCTAGAGCAGGGTCCTGGCACCTCCCTGACAGCCATCGCAGAACCAAAGCCGCCTGGTGACGGTGGTGGTGGTGGTGGCGGCAGTGTGGCAGGTGGGGGAGGGTTGGCAGGGCCACACACCCTCTCTGCCCTGAATGGGTGCTGAGAGGGTCTGCAGCCAGTCAGCCTCTTCCTCTTTTGGGGATGAAGCATCAGCAGATTTGTGAGTACCCCGCTTCTGACTTGGCATTTTCCAGAAACTGCTGAGTCACCAGAGGGCAGCCCCAGCATGCTCCTTCCCCTGTGTGCCAGGCCGGGCTGCTGGGGGCTGTTGATTTCCTGGAGACTTGGGAGAAACGTTCATGGGCAGAGACCCAGTCTCTCCCATCCTGGTGTGCATCTGGGAAGGACTGGCTTGGAGGAGAGACGGAAGAGATAGTTTTGCTCTGGGAACGCTCGGGAAAAAGACTCGCTCTCGGTCTAGTAGACCGAGGAAAGAGAATAAGAATAGAAAAGTTGCCCAGGAGTCTAACCAGCTCTGTGTTCTTCCCCATGAGCTGTGAGCGAGAGAGGACAGGGGTGGAGGGGAGGAGTGGAGGCAGAGAGTAGGGCCCGGGTCCAGTGGCTCACTTGTCTGTGTTTCCCTGTGAGCTCCCCTGGGCTCCTGGCCCCTCGCCTCCCACCCAGCCGCTGGGGGTACTTTCACTGACCATCTCTGTGCCTTCCTTGTCCTGGGCCTGTCAGCTCTGAGCCCCGAGCCACCAAGCAGAGCCCTGCTCCTTGAAGCAGGTGGGGTGGAGCGAGGGGTGAGGTCTGGTGTGGACATGCATCCGGGTGGGCCTGGGAAACTGTCCGTTCTGCCCTGAGTTATGCAGACCAGGCTTCCTGGAGTCTAGAGTGTCCCAGGGAAGTGAGCAGAGCTGAGGTGTGGGAGGGACCGGGGGGGTGGGGGAGGGCTTGTGCTCCTTCACTGACCCCCTGGATGGAGTTGGGGGAGATCCCTCTTCTAAGGACAGAGGCGGGAGCCAGGGCCGGTGGGGACGGGCCTGCTTCCAGATGTGGCTTGTGTTTATCTGGAGGCCAGGCTTGTTTGTGCGCAGGGCAAGTGAGAGGTGGGGCAGGATGCGCCTGCTTATTAACAGAGAGCTGGGGCCTGGCACACCCAGAATGGTCATCTTCCTCTTCCTTCTGCACAGCCCTTTTTGGTACGTGGATGTATGTGTGTGGCGGGGTGTTCTGGGGGCACCACTGGAGCGTGGCCTGTGGACTAAGAGAGGGCATCACACAGGCCCCTATTTCAACACTTCCTAGCCCAGAAATTGCTGAGTCACGGGGGAATTGCTCTGACCTTATTTTTCCCCTAAGCTGGCTTCTAGAATCTTTGAGTGGTAAAGCATCTGAGAGCCATCTATCTCAGCCCCTCCGTGGCATAGTGAGCAGATAGGGGGCAAGTGGAGCGGTAGCAAAGGTACCCATCTGACGGTTCCTTGGATGTGCTCAGTGACGATACGCTTTCTTCCGCGGGCCCTTTAAGAAACCAAACAGCTCCCCCAGTGAACACTTAGGACCTGTGTGAGAGGATTGGGAAACACTTCTGGAAAAGGTGGCTAGCACACCGTCCATCCAGATCACGGAAGACGTTAAGCTGAAGCCGGGGGATTGTTATTCTGTCCACCTCTGGCCTGCTCCCGCTTCCTGCCTAGGCAGGGATGGAGACAAGCTTGTCTTGCTTCACCCTGATCCCAGGGCTGGAGGGACCCATGTTCCAGGCCCCCAACCCCTGAGGAAGGCTGAGGGTGGGCAAGGGCAGAGCTGGGAGACTGTGGGTCAGACAGCGTGGGAAGGGAAGCAGCAGGTGTTGGCAGAGCTGAGTCCTCACTAGCAGGGAACCCTGGGTCACCGTTTCCAGGCTGGCGGGACCTTTGGGCTCCCCCACTTTCAGAAGTGGCAGCACCGAGGCTCTGAGAGTCACGAGCAGCACATCAGGGCCAGGCCCAGGTTTCCTGGCTGGCAGTCTCGTGGTTTTCTGGCCCTTGCCAGGCTGCCTGAATTGTGACAGCTTCTGAGCTGGTAATCAGAGCAGAGGTCTGTGATGACATTCCCCCCCCTGCCTTTTTATTTTCCCTCAACTTAAAAAAAACATTATGAAATATTGCAGGCAAGTAAAAAAGAATAGACAATTTAGTGAACTCCCTCATTCTTACCATTCAGCCTAAAAAATAAAATGTCATAGATTCAGTCAAAGCACTCTTCCCACCCCGATCTCCCTGTCACCTTCTCTTCCTTCTCTCCCTTGCCAGAGCTGACCACTTTCCCCAGCCTTCCCGTGCCACTCTGCGTGCAGCGTGTGCGGCTCACTTTTTGAAGGGCCTCCTGACTCCTAGGATCCAGCGGTCTACACACAGGTGGACAGCTTGCAGCTGGCTCTGCCTCGTCCCTCATTCGTCCCTTGTCGGGACCCTGCGGCCCTGCCCTGGACCCTTGCCAATGGAACTGATATTTGCTCCACTCTCTGGGCTGCGGCGGCAGGCACGGCCCGGCACAGAGGGCATTCATTGTATTGTCTGAGCGGCAGCTGGCATCGTAGGGGAACTGCCCAGCCAGGCCCAGAGCGCAGGCCCAGGACCGGCTGGGGGCCTCTGGCCTGCCCTTTCAGCAAACGACTTAGTAAAATGGAGTCTGGCAGGGGACTTCCCTGGCGGTCCAGTGGTTAAGTCTCTGCACTTCCACTCCAGGGAGCACGGGTTGATCCCTGGTCAGGGAACTTAGACTCCGCATGCCTCGTGGTGTGGCCTAAAAAGGAAATTAATAAAATGGAGTCTGGCCAAGGGCAAGAAGAAGGCCACTTGGGCACTGGGTGGCCCTGGGGGTTTTAACCACTGGGCCTACCCATCCCATAAAACCAATACATGGAATTTGGGAAGAGCCCCACTGCCAAGAGCTCAGCCACAGGCCTTGCAACGTTCCGGTGGTGGCCTCTGAAGGCTGGGGTAGCAAGAGCATCAGGGTGGGAGGAACGCTTCCCACAGCTGTGGCTCCCAGGGTGGGTAGTGGGGAGTCCCCGGAAAGCAGGCTGGGCTGCAGCAGTCCTCAAACTTTCTGACTTTAGGACCCCTTTACACTCTTTAAAAAGTGGTGAGACCCCAAGGAAATTTTGTTTATGTGGGTTATATCTATCGATATGTACTGTATTAGAAATTAAAACTGAGAACAGTTTTAAGCATTTTAAAGTAATATTAAAAAATAACATTGTGGGCTTCCCTGGTGGCGCAGTGGTTGAGAGTCCGCCTGCCGATGCAGGGGACGCGGGTTCGTGCCCCGGTCCGGGAGGATCCCACATGCCGCGGAGCGGCTGGGCCCGTGAGCCATGGCCGCTGAGCCTGCGCGTCCGGAGCCTGTGCTCCGCAACGGGAGAGGCCACGACGGTGAGAGGCGCGCGTACTGCAAAAAAAAAATGATAATAATAACATTGTGTTAGCATAAGTAACATTTTTTTGTAAGAAGTATTCAGGTTTTCCAAAACAAAAAAATTAGGGAGAAGAATGACGTCCTTTTATATTTTTTGCAGATCTCTTTAATGTGTGGCTTAGTAAAAGGCAGCCAGATCCTCCTAGCTGCTTTTGCATTCACGTCCTCTTCACGTCACAGGCCACGTGACCTCCAGCAAACTCCACTTTACCGGGAGAGTGAAAAGGCCAACACTACTGTTATTATGCGAAGAGCCGGGCCTGGGGGACCTGCAGGGCTCTGGGGGGTCGGCAGGTGAGGAGAGGGGCGCCGCCTGAGCCGTCTCTCCCGGCAGGTGTGCTAGCGCTGTGGGTCCTGGTGACGCACGTGATGTACATGCAGGATTACTGGAGGACGTGGCTCAAGGGGCTGCGTGGCTTCTTCTTCGTGGGCGTCCTCTTCTCGGCCGTCTCCGTCGCGACTTTCTGCACCTTCCTTGTGCTGGCCGTCACCGGACACCAGAGTAAGGGCCTCCACAAAGGGAGGGCGTGGGAGGGCCGGTGGGTGGAGCACTCAGGAGGCCCGGGATTCCTGTCCTGGGTTCAACACTTATGTCCAAGGGACTGGACAGACCACTTAACCTCCCTGTGCCCGAGTTTTCTCGTTGTAAAAGTGGGGAGAATGGACGCCCCCCACCCCCGCCCCTGGGTTGGAAGGGACCAATGAAACGCGTGGGAAGTGCGTGCTGCATTCAGCACCCAGGAGTGTGTGGTTAGCCTAGCCGCCCTTTTTCAGCCTCCAGCGGAGGGTATGGGAGCGCCCCCTGGTGGCTGCAGTCTCCAAGTAGCCAAAGGCTCTTCCTGCCCGCTCTGATGCTGAAGCACATTGGAAGGCAGTGGCCTAGGGTCAGTGTCCCAGAAGCAGAGCGGATGATACAGCCCTGTGATTAGCCAACCCGGACCTTCCCTCATCCCCGCTGCTTCCTGCCTGCAAACTCTGAATGCTCTGAAACCTCTATCACACCTGATCTCTCCATTGGCTCAGTTCGGCCTCTGTTGGAGGTTGTGGGGAAGGATGGCCCGGGGCTTGTGGCATGCTGGCTAGGGTCAAGGGCAAGGTCCTCTCAAGTCACGGTTGGGTTCCTCTCCCCTGCAGGCCTCACAGACCCCAACAGCTACTACCTCTCCTGTGTGTGGAGCTTCATCTCCTTCAAGTGGGCCTTCCTGCTCAGCCTCTATGCCCACCGCTACCGGGCTGACTTTGCCGACATCAGTATCCTCAGCGATTTCTGACCTGAGCGATGAGGTCTCCGCACCCTGGTGGTCCTCAGGACCTGGACTCAGCCTCTGAGACATCGGGCGGGCCTGTACACCCCCTGGGAACCCCAGAACCGAGGCAGAAAGTATACAGCAGGAGGACGGTGGTCTCCCTGGGAGCTGTCCTGTCCCCTTGCGGGGAACCCTGGGTGCCGTGGAAAGGGGTCCTGCCGTGTTGCTCATCAGCCTGACTGGAGGGCAGCTTTAGACCTTTTCAAGTGGATCTATTTTCTTAGCACTCAGTGGGCAATCTTTCTACGTAGGGCCAGGGCAACAGGCAAGGGGTAGGGCAGTGGGGCCTTGACCTGTGCCTGGGGGCAGGGGTCCCTGCTGCCCTAGACACTCTCCCTCAGGCGGGATGGGACCCTGGGGAGGTCAGGTCAGGTTAGGGATCTCTAGTAGAGACTTCTCAGCCCCTTAGCCCAGCACCCCCATCTTGTTGTCCCCCAAGAGTCAGGTAGCTGAACTCATTGGTCCCAGGGATGGTGACACTTGCTTCTCTTTTCTCAAGGCCTGGGGACCCGAGGGGAGTTCAGTGTCCCTCTTTCCACCCACCCTGTTCCTCGCAGAGGTGGTTCCCATGAGTATGCTAGAGCCATCCTCCCCTTCACCACACACACCCAGAGCAGGACGCCCCAAATGAGGCCAGACTAAGGGTCTTGGGGAAGGTGCTTCTGCCCCCCCGAAGGGCTTTGGGGAAGGGGGCAGCACGGGGTGGGCTAGAAGGAACCCTCAAACCTGTGTCAGGCACCTCCAGCCCAACATTTCCACTTGGCCTTCTCATGCCTGCCCCTGGCACCCAGATTGCCCCTGGCCCCGAGATGCCTCCCCCACTCCTGCCCCTGCCCTTCACCTAGAGCTTTTCTCTTTTAAAATCTCCCTTCTGAAGGACAAAATCTGCTTTACTGCCTATACACTGGCCCAAGGGCTCACCTAACTCGGAAGGGAAGGGGCTCCATCCATCTTTTTATCTTAGGTTGTCATTTTGCACGGTCTACCCCTTTCCCACCTGATGTGTCCTGCCCCTCAGCTCTTTGCCTTATCTGTGTCACTGTCACTTTAGCAGAAATACAGCAGCCATTTGTATCAGCTAGCCTCTGGTGCTTTCTTATGGGGTGGACTATGGGAGCGGTGGGTGGGAATGGGGGTCTCCAGTCATCTCATCAAGCCATTTCCTTAGCTCAGAGGGGAACCTCTCCCTCTGGTCCCGCTTGGCATGGGGGAACCCACAGTTCAGCTCTCTTCCTCCAGCCCCCTCAGCAAACTCCCCAGCCAGGGCGAGGATGCCCCGGGGCACAGTCTCAGCAACGTCTGTGGGATTGAGTGCCTATTGCCCCAAGAGGCCAGGACAGATGGGAAGGGGATGAACGTGCTTCCCCTCGTATTCTCCAGGCTGTGAGGGCTTGGGGCCAGGTCGGAGGTGATGAGGCCGCTCCTTTTGCTGGCTGAAGCAGCCTGGCCGCCTCGGAACCATAAAGACACGCGCCACTGGATGAGCTCGCCCAGGCCTGCTGTCTCACCCGTTCTGCTCTTCCAGGCTCAGTAGATGCTTAAGAAGTCATGGTACGTTAGAGCAGGAAGGAACCAAACAGCGTCTATTTCGGGAGCCTTTAACTGATAAACAGAGGCCCCAGGAGGTGATGTGGCTTACCTGAGCTCCCAGCTGGGACTTGAACCCAGGTAGGTCTGATTCAGGACTCTTTAGGGGAGCCTTAGAGAGCCGGGTCTGCAGGCATCCATGTTCCCCACGCCCTAACGGGCCCTCTGTCTATGGACTCAGCCCAGAGCTGCCGCCTCTTCACTACCCAGAGGTGGGGCAGGCGGGGGCAGCCAGGGTGTGTTCAGAATGGATTCTTCCTGCAAGGCAGCGGCCACAGAAGGCCAAGGAGCTGGAGGGGGGCTGCCCCATGGCCCAACCTGTCCCTTCTCTTCCACAGTGAATCAGGCACAGGCTGTGCTGTGTAGCTGTAGGCCCGCTGCCCACCCCTCAACCCCCGGAGGCCCTTTCACATGAACCTTTAAAGCAAATAAAACATTTATTGTTCCGATTTTTTTTCCATTTTTTTTTTCTTTTTTACAAAAACATGCATACATACACAGGGCATGGTGGTCCTCAGGAAGACACACTCATGTGCACACACATACAAACCCTCCTCTTACTCTGTCTCTCTCACACACACACACACATACACACGCACGCACGCACGCACACACACAGACAAATACTTTCCTTCTTGGCCCCAGGCCTGGACCCCAGAAGCCTCGAAGTCTTTGCCAGGGCAGCCTCCCCTCCCCCATGTCTTCCATTCACTCTCCCACCCCCTTTCCCCTCAGCCAGGCTAGTCCTATGTAGGGCAGGAGTCAGCTGGGGTGGGGGAGACCCCAGAAAGAGAAGGCTCACGGAGGGGGGTGGTGACTACTGAGGGGTCCCTGGGGGTCATGCTGTGCTTCTGAGGGGAGATGAAGGGTTTGGCACCATTGGATCAGGAAGCAAAGAACTCCAGGAGCACCTGTCTGCTGCACCAGAGCCCTGAGATGGCTGACGCAGGTGGCCTCTGGCAGGGGCAGGGACCAGATGGGAGGCCTGCCGATGACTGCTCTCAGAGGGAGGTCTGTCTCACTGCCCAGTGGTGGGGAGGAAGCTTCCAGAATCATCTGAGGAAGCAGGAGAGGAGGGACTCCCCCTGCACGCAGGGACATGGGACCCCTTTGCCCCTGCTACCCATCCTCCCTCCCCCAGAGCCTAGGAAGGGCCACTCTGGCGGAGGCCGAGTTCACATTTCTGTGTGGAGCCTGGGGCTGTGTGCAAAGTCGGGGGTCTACAGAACCAGGAATAGTGGTTGTGAGCGGGCCCGGCTGTGCCAGTCCTCCTCTGTGCAGGCCTGAGCATCGGGGGCCCAGCTAGGGGCCCAGACCCCAGAGGGGTAGACTGTGCTTCGGGGAGAGCCCTACTGGGGCCCGGCTGGCTACGCAGCCGGCCTCCTGTCAGGGTCTTCTTTGGTCCCTATGCTAGACCCAGGGGCCTTCCCAGGCTCCTTGGGGTGACTGTCAAGAGGCTGTTCTCTGGCCCCGACTACCTGCCCGAAGGATCTCTGAAGACCCCGGGAACGGGTACTGTTGCCAGAGGTTGGAAGAGAACCAGGTCCGAAGGGCAGGGCGGGGCGTGGCGTGGCGGGGGGTTTATTTTTTGCAG